GTGTAGTGGAGGGTGTCCCTGTCCATGGCAGGGGGGGTGGAACTAGATGGGCTTTGAGGTCCCTCCCAACCCAAACCAGTCTATGATTCTATGGGTAATGTTTCATTTAATTGCCTGTAGCGTGGCTCTTCCTGTGCAGAATCGAGACGCTTTCACAGGTGGCAGGTCATTAGCCCTCGTATTTGGCATGATATAAGCACAGCGTGCCTTCTGCGGGTCGGGGAGCTGAGACGTTGGGCAGCTGCTGACTGGCAGGAGAATTTCCCGCGGGGCACACATCCACTGCCAAACACGGTACAGGGGGAGCGGGTCCGGGGGTGCCCCGTGGGAGGCAGCAGCTGACAGGCTTGTGTTCCTCCTGCAGTACATGGTGCCGTTTCTGCTCAATCAAGGTGGATCTCTCCTCTTCTACCTCACTCTGGCGTCCGCAGGTTAGTTCTCGTTGCTTTCGTGGAGTGGGTTGATTGGGATTTTGGGAGGATAAGTGATACTGAGTACTCTGGTCACTCAGCTAAACATGAAGCAGCTGTCTTATAATAATCACCAATAAAACAAGTGTCCTATGATTTGTCCAAGATTATCCATTTTCAGCCATTTGTGTTAAAACTGTTTGATTTCAGATCTGTCCCTGGCAGTACCACTGTGCAACTCCCTGGCTTTGATAGTTACACTGGTGACTGGGAGGCTTCTGGGAGAGGATGTCGGTGGCAAAAGTAAGTTATGCTTAAAACATTTCCTCACATTGTCCCCTGCATCTATTTGCTGACTTAATAGCATGGGCAACCCTCTGGTCTCCTGAAAAACAGCAATACCCACGGAAGGGCTTTAACTAGTTAAGCAGTAGTTCTTGCCACAGGACCTGAAAGGGAATTGAAATGGACTTGTAAGTGGGCAAGGCTAGTAAATTCTAAGTGAGAATTGGCTATTCTGAGCTAACAGAGTTTACAAGCCTGAGCCTTTACCTAACTAGATGTTTAACCATAAGAGAAGCACTAAATAACATGCCCACCATGGAAAAGGAATGTCCTGTAAGCCCCTAAATGTCACCACCCATCCTTCTTTCCATCCCTTACATCCTACAGTAACATTACCCTGCTCAGAAAGTCGAAAAACGAGCAGGAAACTTGAAAGCTTAAAAACACCAGGACCTGGCACAATAGCTGTAGGAACACACTAAAGTGGTTTTGTGGTGTTTAACCCTGGTTCTCGCTACCCAGACACACAGCACCACCAGTGTTTTCTCAGAAACGTGCTTTGCTCAGTGGACACAGGCAGTCCAGAGATGGAGATCGAAACCCCTTCCAGACTCTCCTGGTCCAGGTCATACCTGTCCAGGCATTTATGCCATCCCATTGACCACGACATGTGAGCATCGCGTATTTAGCAATGGGAAGGTCTGACTGACCAGCGTTGAGTTGTGCAAGTTCCCAGTATGTTATTGCTCATTTCTACAGGGGCTGTGACAGGAATGCTGCTCACCATCCTCGGAGTCACGCTGTGTGTAGCCGGTTCGTGAACAAGACGCAGTGAGAAGCAGAAGAACACAACTTGTTCAAAGGTGAACAGCCCCGTGGCTGAAGAGGGGAGCTTCTGGCTCAGCAGCAGACCGTTTGGGTCAGTTGGACCCTGGAAGCTGTGTTTTGACACACAGATGTCAAAAACCATGAAAACATGGACTGTATCCCCTGAGCACCAAGGTGGAACAAGGCACGTTGCAAGGACATCCTATTTAATGTCTTGAGTCAAGGAATTTCTCTGTCTGGAGGTGTTTCAAAGATGATTGAACTGTCTTGTTCAGCACTGGAGGGATAATAAATGGCTAATAAATCATTCAACAGGAGCTTCTGGGCCCAACTGTTGTTTTTTTTCTGTAGAAGAAATCTATTTAGGAACTCTCCCTTTCATGGCCAAGCATGTGGAAGGGGCTTCCTCCCCTGCACTCAGCTGGCATGTACCAGGTGACACTGCACAGCCCCTTCACTGAGGTCACCACATCTTTTTTCTCTTTGTAGAGTGCCTCTTG